AAAATATAAATATCATATTACATGATGCGCGTTATTTGAATTAAATTTCACACCCGCAGCGACGGCCAATAATAAACCAATAATCATTAATGGTACTGCCAAGAAAACCAAGACACCCCAATGTAACGGGACGAAATGATTTGTAATATTTCTTGTAAAACGAATAATAAATACTGCACCAGGTATAACAACACCCCAAGTGAAAAACATTACAAGACCTAAAAGCATGAAAGGACTAAGTTTAAATATATTATTATTAGTAGGTCAAATGGCATTAGAGAACATACCATGAGCGATAATGTATTTATCATAATTTGATAAACCACCAGTTAATGTAATATGACCTAAGTCATTGTGTCGAGTAATGGTCATCGTATAGGGATCATCAGAAGGACGTGATGTAGTGTGAAGAGCCCAGATATAGTCCAAAGAAGCCGTAGTAATAGTTGAATTGGTAACAACAAGTGGACGTGTGAAGACCACGGTAAATACATTATCTTTAACACCACTAGAAGATAGCAACGTTATATCACTTTGATGTTCTGTTACTGTTGGGACAGAATAGGAATAGGCAACGCGCTGAGAAATAGCTACGGAATTTGTCGAGGTAGGCCATGCCATCTAATAAAAAAGAAATTTGAGAGAGAGACATCATAAAAATTTCTAAAGAAAGTTATTATACATACCACCATATAACTTCCAATCATAGAATTACCGATTCCCATAGCGATCCACCTAATAATTCGTGACAAATAAATAAGTAAATATACAATTTTATCGATATAAGTAAGAGCAAAGTAATCTTTACCCAATTGTTGAAGGAGCCGTCATCTCAAATGTAGCGACATCATCAGCTCTCATGGTACTTGGGATCGTAATAGTTAAACAATAATTATTTGCAGTATTACAATTCTTAACTTGGGCAAGGACATCTGTAACAATGAAAACATCTTTAATTGATGATGGTCATTCGATAAAATATTAACACGATTTAAATTACCTTGAAGTAGAACAACCCAAATCACCAAAGCTAAAATAATCGACCGTTTCTTCATATTGATATTAATCATATATATCTCATAAACACTTAAAAAAATTCTAGTGACAAATAAATTTTTTCGTTACAACCTAAAAAACAAAAAGAAAAAAAAAAAAAAAGATAGAAAAAGGTTGATAAATGGAACGAAAGGTGGCTGTGAACATAAAATAATGAAAAAGGAAAAAGAATGACAATTATGAGGGCTTATATATATGCATGAATATTAGGCTTGGTGTATTTGATCGTTTGTAATACGACCATTGACAGTATTTAAAGTCCCACGTTTCATTTTACAAAGTTTAAAATCATAAAAGGTAAAAAGTAAAAATACACAACAAAATTTAAATTTAAAAGAATAGAATTATATGTAAAAGCATATAGAATAACGAATTTATCATTTGATAAGTTTTTATGTGGCTGTGTTGTCTATGAAAATAAACTGGTATCGTCTTTTTATCATAAACAAAAATGACAAATGAACTTTTGACAAGTCAATTACATACCTATTTATTAAATAAAGCGAAGTTTTTGCCAAGTTACAGTCAAAATAAATATTCTGAAATCTCGAGCCTCCTTGCGCCTTTTAAATTCTTAAGATGCTGCCACGTATACTCCGTAAAGCATCGTTCAAATCCTTAAGGGGGCTTTGATGATGATTGGACTTAATATTTCAAATAAACACGCATGAATGAGGCTTTGCCATATTTATTGTTCAACGATAAGCCACTTTTCCAATCGAATTGTCGTTCTTCATGCAGTGAGCTCTCCTTTGATCATTATAAGTTCTAAGTAGCTTTAAACGTTTAAAAAAAAATTAAAAATTTAAATAAGGAAAATTCGTTGTATTTTAAACTAAAATAAGCATTTCATTAAATGCACCTAAAAATAAGTCATTGTGTTTAAAATTAGCTATTTCTACAGTTCTAGTAATACCTATTTAATGCACAATAGGGATGGTATCCTGAAAAAATTTTACTTTCGTACGTAGTATTTAATTTACTAACCTATTTTATACATTTTCAAATCGATATCTTTTGGATTATGCACTTATCGTTACGTATGTAAATCTTGTATAAATATTCGGATCGCGTGTGGTGTCGCGTGAGAGATGAATAATAGATCCGTGAACACGAGACACACGATGACACACGATTAATTACGTTTTATAAAAACCTGTCAATTTCAAAAAAATTTTCCGTGTTTCCTGTTAAAAATATAAATTTCAAGAAAATTTACTTGAAATTATTCAAATTTTTATAAATTGGTTGTTTTTGAAATGAAATCTCATTTCCGTTAGCTTTTATATTACTTTTTTCCGATAAAGAAGACAGCTTGTGGCTTACCAACCTTAAACTTCATATGATTTTTATGTGACATTGATTTATAATGCGTTATTTAAAAGCAATCATTTAAATCATCATTTTAATTTATATCATCATTTATACTGTAGCATCATTTTATACCATCATTTGATTCTTCGTAATAAAAAAAAAATTAAAAACTTTTTTCCAAATTACATAACCCAAATTATAGTTGTACTTGGGTAGACATAAAATCGTTCATCGATTAGTAACAAGTATTTTGTTGTATTTTTTATGTTTATTTTTATGTCCTATGTAATGAAGATCTAATAAATCACATACATACAATTTCAATTATAAATAATCGACAGTTATTTCTCTGTAACTTCTAGTTATTGCATGCGAAGTATGCAATAACAAAAAGGCTGTATTTTATGGGTGATGATGATTGGTTGGTAACCCAGCCGGTACGGCTGGGTTACCGAACGATAATAGCAGTTGATGCTTACGGGAGCAGGCAATAACGGTTTTATTCAATGATTTACTATCTCAGTTTATGAAATAAGATTAATAATTTTATCATATAAAAATAGATTTATTTTATAGACTGATCATAGTAAAGCATTGAATAAAAAAAAATTATTTAGGTTCATGAAAGGTTACTATTTAGTTCTGGGTTTGTAATTCGTAATCCTCTCGAATACGTTTGTTAAAGGAAGCATAACCTTGATTAAGCACCTATTCTACGTAGACGGATGACATACGTGTATTAATTCTTTATGGTTGACATTATTATAATATCATAAGTTATATCAAATATTTCATGTGATCGATCCAAAGGCCGCAGCAATTATGCAAATTTCTGTAAAAATAACATTTTCACGTAGATCATCTATCCTATATCTGATATATAAAAAAAATTTTTTTTAATCGAATAACTTTACTCTTTTTTAAGAGATAAAAATTCTCTCGCCTTTAAAAATCTTTTTATTTATAATCTTATATTTAGTTCAATGTTGATATTTACAAAAGATAGTTTCAAAGTAGAAAGTTGTTTCACAAAAAATACGAATCATCGGTCTATTTTTCAACCAAGGTAAAAAAAATAAAAAATAAAAAAATGTCTGATTGATCAGATTTTTTTTTTTTTTTTTTTTTAAAAAAAAAAAAAATAATATCAAATTTCTGAATTTTTGAATTGTATGTTTTAAAAACAAAATTAGTCGACAAGATAATAACAATAATAACAATTGGATAATTAA